ATTGATACATGAATGTGGATTTTTTGCCACATACCAATCTTTTTTAAGATTGCTAACATTTATTTTGCTTTAATAAGCAGATTATAGTTTGTTATCTTATCACCAACAGAATATGTGCCATTGATACAGGTTTGAAACGACTTTCTGTAAGGATTTCAAGTATTACCTTCACAAATGTCTGAGTGACGGGGATGGGGTTGGGGAGTTAATTCTGAGTCCCACTAAATATATTGGCTTTTTTTATTAAAAAACTATATTAAAATTAAAATCGACTTCAAAACTAACTACAAAGTTTAAATTAACTTTTGGAAGTTTTGAAGTCGGTTTCAAGCTTTAGCCTCGTTAACTACCTCATTAAAGCTTGAAACCAACTCCTAAGCATCCAAAAGTTATTATTACAAGCTTTTAGTTTGTTTTGAAGCCTGTCTTATTTTTAATATATTTTTATATATGTGCTACTAATATGCTCACAGTATGTTTGAAATCAGATACTTTTATTAATAAATATTAACACATGATTTATTGTTTCATATCATAGTAGTGTTAACATCATGACATCTACAGTTGATTGGATGGTGAAAAAATATCTTCCCTTCTCATTTTTCGATAATGAAGTTACACAAGTATTTTTTCGATTGATTTGCCCAAATATGGTGTTTTCTGAAAGGTCCACACTTAGGAAGAAAGGTCAAAGAGTAATTTGAAGAGCTTCAATTGAATTTTAAGAAACGACTACAACAATTTTCATCTAAAATGTCATTTACCATTGATGGATGAATGTCAATTGCTGATGAGTTACTCCTGGGTCACTATTCATTAAATAGACAACAAATGGAAATATCGATCTGTAGTCCTTGATTTTATACCATTATGCGGTCGACATACTGGCAATGATATTGCAACAATTTTCCACTAATGTTTATTGGAATATGGCAACATTGATAAAAAAATAAAGGGTATCACGGTCGACAATGAGCAAACAGCTGCCACACTTTGCTTCAGACAATCAACATTTTCTGTCCTGTGCTCACATTTTGAACCTTGGTGTACAAAATCTATTAAAGACCTTAGCATTACATAGTGAAACTGACAATAACGGACAAGCACAGCAGGATAAAGCCTATGAAGATGAAACTGAGGAAAATGAAGAATATGCATCAAATACTGCTGACTCATTTAAAGTTATAACAAAATTATGCAGTATTTTCAGTAAAATAAAAAGAAGTGAGATATTTAAGAGGAAGTTTCAGTCTGCTTGTGAAGCAGCTGACAAAATGAAACTGACTATAATTACTTTTAACTTGTTTACTCAGTATCTAATACTGTTAATTTTATTTTTTATAATATGAAAAATTTCATATAATTTTCATACAAAAGACTTGTAATGGGCTGAATAATTTCAGCCCATGTCTTTTTAATGGATGTTCAATACAGATAGTTGTTTATAGATTTACTTGTGGACCAAGTATTCTTTGCAAAATTATCTATGTAACCAAAGAACATAATTATCATTATGGTTTAGATAATTATAGTACTACCCTCTAGTACTACCCTCTTTCTAAGACTCATTAATATTCAACTCAGCAGGGTGCTATTGTTGTAGGTGTGAAATTACATAGACAAGGGATCATAACAAAACAGGTAGATCTGTTTATTTATGGAATTTCACACATTGAACAAAAAGCACCCTAAACTTTATAGAAATTCCATGGCTTACTTGTAAATTCTTGTAAGTTTAATTTTTACACATTTTGCCTTTTATGCTGAAATAGAATCTACTACCTATGTAAATGCAATGGGCAAAGCTTTGTAAGTCTGTGTCAACATTATCACCATCTATGCACAATTGAAAATACTAGTAAGTCTAATGTGTTTTAAAGAGAGCAGTAAGACCTTGTAAGTCTGATTTAATGATAGAGGTTATGATTTACTTTGATTTTGTGTAGTGTTCTAACTACTGTTGGTGCAATTAAAGCAAGATAACTTTAAAAATGAAGAAGCAAAATAATCCTGTGGTAAGTAGAATCTGTATTTTACAAAGTAATAATGACTATTTAAAAAATATTTGCCTTCGCTTCACTTTTTAAATTGTATGGTGACTAATCCACCATTAAGCGTCTGGAGGGGGAGGCCTTTGAACTGTGGCTGCACAGACGTATACTAAAAATTCCATAGACGGCTATGCCACAGAATAATAAACAATCAGAATGCCCACTCTCAGATGCCGCCTTTGAAGTTTTTCAGCACGCCCGCCATGTTTTAGAAGGAAACACATAACACAGACATATGATTTGTGAGGTTATGTAATTGTTTATATTTATGTTTAATTCTATTATATTTATGTTATTATATTTAAGAATGTTAATATAATTGTATATTATGTCTATGATTGTCGTAAGTCAATTAAACCGGGTTAATTTTTCTACTCACACCACATAAACAACACTGGTTCCCTCTAAAACATGGTGGAACATCTACGCGAAGGAGATGCGCATACTTAATTTTCCATGGAGAGTGGGCGTTCTGATTGTTTATTATTCTGTGGCTATGCTGACAAATGTGGCAGTCCTTGAGAGAGCAAATACTGCACGCGAGCTGCTTGATAACATCAAATGTAGAAAGATGGCCTATTTTGGACACATAGTAAGGGGAGACCAATATAATATTCTTCAACTTATTATGATAGGTAAAATCAAAGGACACAGAGGAATTAGTAGAAAGCAGGCCTCTTGGTTGAAGAATATCAGGGAGTGAACAGGAATAAAGAAAGCTGAGCAACTATTTAGAATAGCTCAAGACAGACAGTTTCGCTATGTTAATCGCCAACGTCAAGGGGACTTGATAGGGCACATTAAGAAGAAGGTGACTAATCTGTTTTAATAATATAATAACGGTTTTTTAGTAAACATTAGGTTCATATTTCCAAGGGATAATAATCTGCGGTGTCATAAATTCTTGATTTTATAAGCATATATAATATGTAGCTATATTTTTTATTAAGTTATAGTAGATATTTAAATAATTATTAGTAATTAATAGTACTTTATTATTTTATTAAATTTAACAATATAGCAGTGAACTTTCAAATAGGTAAAAATGTTTAACATTTTTTATCGTTTCCCCTTTCCATTAAGATAGCCTAAACACACAGATAAGCTTATACTTCAATAAAAATTATCACTTATTAAAAAATAAATTGGCAAGAAATGAAATGTATTAGGGACAAGGAGGAGTCACTTCCAATGAGTTTGCTTCTATAATCACTCACCACATCGAAAATTATTTGAAACCACTTCCTAATGAAACAGTAATAATTTAGAGTGACGGTTGTTGCTACCAAAACCGAAATTCAAATTTGGCAAACAGTTCTTTACTAATATAACTATTGTACAAAAATACTTGGAACATAGGAATATACAAATGGAGTGTGACTCTATCCATGCTCAAATAGAAAAAAAGTCAGAAATCGAGAAATCTATGTATATTATATAAAAATAATGAAAAGCGCCAGAAGGAACCCAAACCTTACGAAATAGTTTACCTAGACCATTTTTTTATGGATTTCTCAAAGGCCGAATATATACATATATATATATATATATATATATATATATATATATATATATATATATATATATATATATATATATATATATATATACCTCAATAAGACCAGATACAACAGCAGGAGAGAATCTACTGTTACAGACCTATTAGCAATAAAGTACACTCCTGAGAAAGAAGTCTTTTATAAATTAAATTTTGATGAAAACTGGGTTCTGTTGAGAAAAACAGTGCGAAAAAGTGATACATTTGAAGAGCCAAAGCAGCTCTACCAATGCCCACAAAAGATTAAACTCCATAAGTACCAGGAGTTGCGAGAACTAAAAAGTCTAATTCCCAAAGACTTCCACGGATTCTATGATTCTTTAAAATACTGATTTTTTCAATATTGAATTTAGTCACCTTGATCTTATGTTGTGATTGTATCCTGTGTAAAATCTTGAGTTTTTTGTATAATTTTTTTTTATTTTAAATATATGTAAGTATTTTTTTAAATAAATCAGTAGTCTACAAAAATTCTTTATTAACATTGCAAACCCTTGCATGTCTCCTCTGCTGAAGTGTTAAAACTTGTATGTCTCATAGTGCCAATAATTTACAAGATTACATTATTTGTTCTTTTTGTATTATTAAATATAGTGTCTATTATAGTGCTATTAAAGTGTCTAAAAAACAACTCATGTTTATAAAAAGTGCCGTTTTTTTGAAATTAAATACATTTTATAGCCTCCTGAAAGATATAGTTAATCAGACATACCAGGTTTTACATGTAAGCCATCAAATTCTTAGAATGATGGTAGTAGTATAAATGCATAATTATCGGAACCCTAATTATGATAAACAACTCTATACATTCCTGTGTCACCTTTCATATTTCAGTAGCTTATCTACATCAATTTTCATCCATCAAAACAACTTTCAATACTTATTATAGTTGCAGTGTATGAATATATTTGTTAGATGTTTTTATTTTCTTTTTTCTCTGACTTTCTTTTATGTTAGTTTTTTTTATATTATTAGAGCATTATGTGTTACAATAATTACATTTGCTTCTAATAATGATATTTCTATAATAATCTCAGAAAACAGTTAAAAATGTTTTCAGCATTTGGGTTTTTATATCATTTTGTGACTCAGTTTTTAAAAATTGTTTTGAAAACATCTGATGTGCCCAAATACTACAGAATTTGTATGTAATTATCATTTATTTCCAATTACTTATCTGTAAAATCATTAGAAAATCTAGTAATACAAAAGATTAATTAAACACAATAAGAAATATCATTAGTAGGCAACTTAAATAGGAAAAATTAGAAAGTTCAAATATATATTACATATAAGTATATACACATAAGGATTTTAAGTAAATATTTGGTATAGTTTATATTTTTAATGTTGTTATTAAATATAGTCATATTTTATTTTATCATACTTACAGGAACTATAAGCCCTTGCCATGTTAAAATGTTCGTTTCATCCACTTGAATGTCACGGAATGATTTTAATCCAGAATTTCTAATATCCCCTAGTTCCTACAAAAATATAAACAATAAAATTTTATCATGATTCTTTTAACATAAATTTGAACAAAATCTGAATTAATATGTAAGTCTTATTTTTTTTAGAAAACAAAATTTTGTGAGAAATGGGTATCTCCAACCAACAAGCCTTTGTTATTTCACTCCTGATGTTTCATTAAACAGAATGAACAAACTACAAATACATACATATTAAACTAATCACGCCACTTATTTTGATATACAGGTTGAAATTAAGGATTAAGGGTAAATAGGAGTCAATATAAAGGATTAAGATAATGATGTCACAATCTATGCATGTTAATGATAATATTGTAATCTGACCTCACAAAAGGTTGTAAAATTACTTATAGGATTTATAGTTACCAGAAACATCATTTAATGACTGGCAAAATAATCAAATACCATGTTGCTTCAATTTATACAAAATTTACTTACTTTTTGTAATCGTCTGGTGGCTGCCATTTTGCTAACCTTCGGCAGCTCAAGTCTAAAATATATTTACAAACTTATGACAAATTAAATAAGAAAACGACTAAATTACAGTTGATTTAACCATTAATTAACAACAACACTTATATAAAGTTTCTTTCATCACTATCAATTTTTTGTTCTAGATCTCAGAAATTTGACACTTCTTGCTGACAAAACACCCAGAGCCATCTGACAAGAGTGACAAGGGACAAGGTCGTGGTCGATGCTTCGACTAACGCCAACGTGATTTTAACAGAATTGTATTTTATTGAAATTAAAAAAGGAATACAAAACTATTCAAATAAAAATGATAATTAATATACATGTATGTTCGGAGGTAAAAATGCATCCTCTTAGTTATAAAAAAAATAGGTATATTCATTGACTTATTGTTAAAGGTCAAAGTTTATCTAATTTCAATGATTTTTATTTGTCTTGTCTGACTTGTCCTGTGATTAGAATCAAAAGAAAATAATTGTCATAATTTTTGAAAAAAGTTTGAAGTATACTTAACAATATGTTTTTTAATTTACTTATTTAATTTACAAATATTACTTATGTATTTGCTGTAAATGGTACCTAATTCCCTATAAAATAGATAAAGGTACTGTGGAGCTGGAGAGTAATAGGTAACTGAAATACTGGAGAAATTGGAAGTATCCGCATACCTACCTACAAAACATAGTGAAGGAATACTTCTCAAGTAGACAGATTAACATAGCGAGGGGAGATGTTACGCAGACATCGGCAGGAGTGCCACAGAGCTCGGTCCTAGGACCGTTTGCTCTGGAAAATCCTTTTCAATGATATATTAGAGGAAGATTCAAGAGAAGAGGCACAGGCTATAGCTTACGCGGATGACCTTCTAGTAGAGCACAATGAACAAATGCTTATAATTAACTCAGTCAATGTTGTACTGTAAATGGTGAAAATGTGGTTGAAATACCGAGAGTTGACACTTGCTACGCAAAAAACGGAAAATTTGATACTAAAAGGACCTAGACACAGAGATTACATTTCCTTTACGCTCTAGAGATACCGAATAAAAAGGTTAAACACCTAGGAGTAATGCTGGACAGTAAACAGATATTTGGCGAACATGTCAAACATGCTGCAAACAAAGATGAACAGAGAGTGTCGTACGATTGGATCATCCTCCATATTGCCTGGAGTTTCAGGATGGTTTCCAACCGCCGCTCTTTAGGAAGAAAGAAGGTTCTTCGATTCCATCCTCTAGTTACTCAAGGAGTTATGTCTCCTCGACTTACACTTGGCGAGAGGTTGACCAGGGGCTTTGTTGCTGATAAGGTGCTACCGCCAATGTAGAATAATTTATCAATTTGAATTTCTTACACTTATATATATATACATAAAATATATATATATATAAATATATATATATAAACTATATATATATATATATATAATATACATAATATATATATAAATATATACATAAATATATATATATATATATATATAAATATATATATATATATATATATATATATATATATAATTGTCTTGCATGAAATATTTGCCAGTATTCTACGCTCAATAGACACCTCGAATACCAACAGAGATGCCGGCTCTTCGACTAGCCCCCGGATTGCGGAATAATCCGTTCTGGACTTTTATTTATTCTCGCAATCACGCTCGATATTGAAGGCTCACTCCTTACTGTCGTGAAATAATTCTAAGTCCCGTGGGACCTTTATTTATTTTCACCGAATGGTTTGGCGACGAACTGCTACTTCAGCCCGTCCACCGACTGAGGAGTAATTCTAAGTCCATTAGGGCTTTTATTTACACCTAACATTGTGGCAGTTCGACACAATCTGAAATAGTTTTAAGTCGATTTGACTTTTGTCTATTTCAAAGATCAATATCTCCCTGACCAGTGAGTGTTCTCTTCAAGCTGTTTAATGGCTTTTGTAAGATAATCCGTTCCAGACCTTTCTTACACTTTTTCTACCGTTTCCAACACTTTTTATTGTTTGATAATATGGAAGTCGTGAGATCTCGTATTTATCCCAACAATGAAAGAGCTGTAGAACTTTTTCTCGTAGTTCGATGACGTTTGATTTAGGCGAGAAATAAAAATTCAGAGGTTTCTTGAAGTGGGCTACTCAGCCAAAACTAAATTTTTCATCGGAAGGTGAGCTGCTTTTTATGCATTTCTTAAATAACCCTTGTAATTGGTCGACCAGTGACAATCTTCGCTATAATTCGTCCACTTTGGCGAAAAGAGCAACAGCATTGCTAATAATTATGCCAAATAGGTATAGGAGATCCATGTAAGGGAAAAGAAGGATTTTAGTTGTGAAAGAGTGAGTAAAGTGCAAATATAAAAGCACTACATCTTTATGCAATTCCTAACGGACAAGGGACATTTAGTTAGAGCATACCTTGATAGGGTCGGCAAGGTAATAGATGCTAGCTGTGTGGACTGCAGAATAAGCTTCACAACACGGTGTGTTCGAATGCAGTAAGTTCAAACACGAACAAGTGACAAAAATCTTTAAATAAAACGGGATTTTAAAGAGAAAGAGAGAGAGAGAGAGAGAAAGAGAGAGAGAGAACAGGAGTAAACATAAGCAACAGAGAGAAAAAGGGAAGTGAAAGGCTAGCCGCGCGCGCAAAAGAACTGTCTGGAAAGACGTGCCACGAGCGTAAACCGAGAGTGGTTTTAATTGGTACGCATTATACAGTAAACAGTACTATGATGTAGTAAATGATGATTATAGTTTTACGTAGGATGGACTTACACATATGAATCAAATAAAGTATAGGTTTATTTCGTTTGGATTGCATTCAAGGAATCATTTGGCATGAAAGATCGTTGTGTACAAACGTGTATGACCTATTTATAATATGTTTATGTTTAGTCCAAAGCGACCAAAGGTTCTTTTCTGAGATACCTTTATCTCCTGGATAGGTTCTATATAGACAAACTAAATTTCCCTATAATATTGTATACCAAGGAAATTGGTAAAATAATGTCAAGCCACCATGACGCATACAGAAGCGCAAGTACGAGTCCAAAAACAACTGACAGATCCCTTCTAGATAACTTAATTATCGTTTAAAACAGGGAGATGGACTGGTTCCAATTTTATTTAACATTCGTATGAATGGCATCAAGGTCAACAGCTTAAGATTTATAAAAGATAAGACGATGAAGAGATAAGTTCTCAATAAAGAGAATAATTCAAGCTACTGCTAAATACTGAGAAGTCAACAATGGCATGTGAACATCTTACTGAATAACATATAGTGCGCTTTAAATATAAAAGTGATTTCAAAATGAAACTGCTTTTAGTTTAATTGTGATATTTTTCCTTTTTAATAATTATTCGTAAAAAGTCTTTCGCTTTTCTGGCAACGTAGCTAATACACCAAACATAGCAATACACCACCCTTACATAATATGGTCACACCATAATACGCGGTAAAATTATAGTTTATTATGTCTATGGGTAAAATACGGTATAATATTGTAGCAACAAATATGCGAGATAGAACATACTTACTCTAGAAGCTGAAACAGTAAGGGACGTTTTTTTTGCGATAGTGGAAATGTAAAGACCATATCAAGTAAATCGTACCTGGCGTGAGATGGATTCAGGGTAGATACTTTTCTACGACTTTCTACAATTTTTGAATGGTATTGCCTTTGAAGTTTTCATTCACTATCTTATATGCATCTTCCCCAATAATTGTTTAGGCCTTCGCATAGTTCATTCTAACATCGTTTTTTTCTTAATAATTTCATTTTTTAGTTCTTTCTTGAATGTTTTTAGTTGATCTACTTCAACCAACACCAACTGATTTTCTTTCTGTATCTGGTAACTTTCCTTCTTAACTTAAGATATCTTTTCCTTATCCCCTCTATATTATCTTTCCACTAACTAAGGGGTGTTTGTACCATTTTATACATATAGTTTTGAAAAATGGTCTATTCTGGGCATTCTGCGTATACCACAAACATACACATATAATACAAGATAGACTGATCTTTGCAATATCGGCCTGTTCCCCCAGTGCGTCAGAGAAAATTGACGCAAAGTAGTCCCTGCGTATCTTTCTAATTTGCCTGGTTTATCAACCACGTGATCTAAATGACCAATGAGAAGGTCACGTGGTCGATAAACCCGGCCCATTACATAGATATGCAGGAACTGTTTTGCACCAGTTTTCTCTGTCGCACTGGGGGAACACGACTGTATTGCAGCAGTCAGTCTTTCTTAAATGACATGTCTATGACCACAGAGTTTTATTAAATAACCTAGAGACGCTATTTGTTTTGTCGAAAAATTTGAGGTCACTGGTTAAATGAAATTAGATAACCCCACGACGCCTGGGACGGGAACACCGTGGCTCGATAAGACGAGAACCGATAAAACTGGGAGCGTTTCGTTCGCTGCCTTGTGATGAAGTGTGTCTTGAGACTTAAGATGGTCAGAAAGAACTCTCTAACCGTTGGGTGGTCAACAGCTCGTGGGGCAAGAGCATCCCATAAATATTGTAGGACGATTTTGAATGGCGATAACTTAAGTTAATTGTCACGGTAATACGAAACTTTATACTTGTTTCTTTATTTCTGACACAAAATACAAAAAAGAAAGCCAAATTCTTAGTACTTAAAATATAACAAATGAGATAGCCAGTTTAACAATTTTACGAAATAACAGAAAGCAATATATTTTACTTCGCCTATAATACAAGGAAAAGTGGAAGGAAAGAGATGGATTGGTCAAAAGAAACTTTCATGGCTGCGTAATATTAGACAATGGAGTGGTTCCACAGTAGATGAATTATTTCGCGTAGCAGCTGACGGAGAAAGGTTTCAGGAAATTGTAAACGTGATGGCGGCCAACGTCTGAATACGGACACGGCACCCAAAGAAGAAGAATATATTTTAACAAAGTTGTTGGAATACAGTATTGAATAAGATCACATTATAGTACACTAAAAGAAAAATATTGGATGTAAAAATATAAAAAGAAATAGTACATACTTTCCCAAACACTATTTTTTGGCGAAAAAAAAATAAGGTGACAAGAATTTGAAAATTAATTATTTGAATAATGAAGTTTGGGACTTCTTGCGTTAACTTAAAACCTGTAAACAATCAAAACGATTGTGTTATGTAAAAACAATTACAAAAATGGTAGGTACCTATTC